TAGAGAGAGAGAGAAAGAGAGAGAGAGAGAGAGAGAGAGAGAAAGAGAGAGAGAGAGAGAGAGAGAGAGAGGGGGTGTAGATTATGTTGTTAGAGAATGGGCTTCTTACCATCTAGTGTAAATAATCTATTTTAAAATCCAGTCTATTCAGATTTAACAATACATGTATTAGTTAAGTTTGGGCTTCTGTGAAGTCCAGGTTCTTGAATCGGACGCTGCAAAGAAATAGAAATGTTACTTTTATATAGCTATAAAATCTTTAGCTGACCTATTTAGTAGACTCATTTAATTTCCTGACACTCTGCCCCATGTATTTTCTAATTCCGAGCTGCTGTTGCAGGTTTCGAGAGCTACGGTCCCCAACGAACAGTTTTATCATCGCTCTGTGTGTCTGCGACTTCTTCATGAGCTGTATTGGAACTCCCATCCCAGCCTTCTACGCTTTCAGAGAGGCCCACATCACGTCTCGGGCGGTGTGCATCTTGGATGGTTTTATCATCTACTTCCTTGCTTGCACATCCATCTATCTCCTAGCAGCTATTTCAGCGGACAGATACATTGTCATCGTCAAGCCCTTTGAGACCTATACAGTCACACAGGTAAAGTTTTCACTAAGAGGTTATCAATCAATAAACATACTATGTTAAACGCTTCATATCTTAACAGGTGGAGGGGCCCATGGGCAGGGAAGCGATCAAACAAAAGACTCGTGCTTTTAAGTAGACAGCGACGGTTGAGCGTGACAATTATTAATTTAAAAAGACTAAATCGATCGTTTAGTTGTGGAGGAGTGTGGGTCGGGGTATCTCTACTGGCACGGTCCTTTGGTGGATTTCAAGGGGCACAACGCAAACCCTACCCGTTGGTTTGATATTGGAACTGGAAGAGTATTTTTTGGCGTATTAAAACACACACATGTGTGTGTGTGTGTGTGTGGAGGGAAGGAAAGGGAGGTAATACATATATTCATCACAGGAAAATGGGAGGTAAACAATGCATAATATACCGTTCATGAATCACAACAATAATATTATAATAATAGGTTAACCCTCCTTTCCAGTTGGAAAAAGAAAACTGATATCTCTGATGGTATCATACCCTGTTAAGGTGCCCTTGAACTGGAGTTGTTTGAGGTCTTTCTTAGACTCCATTTATGCGGCTGCGTCCTGTTTGAGGTGAACGCTAATATTTATGAAGTCCAGTATCTGAAATAACCTTATGTTAACTACACACTCATGAAAAGGAGGGCAGATTTCTATTTTGATATATTATTCGCATTTGAAGAAGCTGTCGTTTCTTGAGAACAGCTTTCTGATGCTTGCTGCTTATTGTTTTGATGGGGCATAATCAAGAAGTTTACAACAGAGTTTCTATAAAGACGAAAGAAAGCTCGTGATGGGAGCGCCACTGTGTCCGTTGTCGGATAATCACAAAAAAGAAAAAAGAACAATAGAGAAGGACTGGAAAACGTGTACCCCAGGCCCCAGTGATGGAACTGTCCTGCCCTCTTTGTTTCAACTGTTATGAAAATTATATTTATGTATCTTATTAAGTTAATGAAACGACAACATAGCAGTTTATATAAAGATAATATTTTTGTATAATGACAGTGATTAACTTTACTTAAGCCTCGGATCAGACTTTACTTTTACTGGTAAGTACTTACACAGATGTAGGTCACATATCTATTAGATTGTTGTCGGGTTTTTTTCAGTCAGAATAAGCTTATAATTAATGTTCTCACGCTTCAGTTTAGTTTTCAGCTGAACAAACTACGGAGACCCTTTGTTTCGAATAATAACCATTTCAGACCCTCACGTTTAGCTGCTTTTTTCCTTGTCTCTACGCTATCCCCAACACACCCCATTTGATAGTAATAAATCATTTTACTTTAATTTACTTTAATTATCTCTAATAAAGAAAGAATTGTTATATTATTATTGGCTCTGAACCATTTTCCAAAGGTTACAACCGTCTTGAAAAATGAAGATTTTGCCAAAAATCTATTATTTTTCCTCAAACGACTGTAGACAGGATAAAAACTGTTGTTAAAGTGCAAATTACGTAAAAAAGTTAATATAAGGTTTGAATCCAGTACTCTCAGCAGGGTAAAGTGTCGAATTTTCATTATGAACAAGAATTATATCTTTTATCAGTAAAGTAAGGATGTTATGGTTGTTTCGGGTATAATACTGAGTACTGAACACATGGAACGACGCCATTTGTTACAGTGGACATAAGGTTTTATGAGCGTGTGAGAAGAGCGTGTTACTATTGTTCCCTTTACGAGCAGAGGAGTAGAGCACCATTAATTTTAATGGACTTGTGAGTTATCATGATGAAATTGCTGCATATTTAAAATCAACCCTACATATTTTTTGACCACCCATCATTTTGACTTCTAACTATGAAATAGATAATATCGTTTTGGTTTACGCCAATTTGCAGTCGAAAATCAGATAGGTCCTAATAGAGTATTCATTACTTTTGATTTGTCTAACGCATTTGCATATTTTTGGGGTATTAACACTGGCATCCATGTTTTTGACTTTTTGAGGCCAATTCGTCCAAGTCTGAAAAGAATCTCCCTTCGTGATTTCCCGATATGAACACTTTAGGTTTGAAATAAGTACACGAAGTATTTCACTGTCACCTAGGCTAGGTTGAACAGTTAATTAGTGCATCTTTATGAAAGTGTGTGTGTTTTTGTGTATACATGTGTGCGTGTGTGTGTGTGTGTGTGTGTGTGTGTGTGTGTGTGTGGGGGTAAGATGAAAAAGAAGAAACAAAACAATACAAAAAAACAACAAAGA